CGTTACATACCTACTGCTAGACGAACCACTCGTCTTTCTGCTGCGCAGACGGCGCGTCGCTCCCACCATTCTGAGGGGCGACCACGGGCGTCGCGGTTACCCTGCCGGGCAGTAGGGGCGGCCCCGGGCCGGCGGCATGCGGAACCCGGGCGGGCCCGCAGGGCGGCGCGAGTTTCCCGAAGTCGGCGTCGCATGGAGTAAGCCTCCATCGGTCAGCGTTGTGGTGCTGCCGACTCCTGGCTTTATTGCCATGTGGCCATTCGACCCGTACATGTGCGCTACTGGAACCAAAAATTAACATAGCAGAATCATCTTCAATTAAAATTAGTAAATTCGTTCTATGAAATATCTATTAACTCTGCTATATTGTAATTGAGACGACAGAGAATGATGTATTTAAACTGTTTTGCATGTATTCACAAAACATGCCCAGACAACACCTCCAGAGGAATGACGCAAATTTTGAATCACCTTGTATGATCGCACTTGAACAAGTGAAAGTAAGAGTGTGTGAACCTCGGTCATATTATGAAACCGGGCAAGGAGAATCAAAGAACTGAAACTTCCAGAAGAATCAGAAGAAGTTAAACTGGGCCATGGACTGAAATCTAGGGAGGTTCCTAATGGCCTGAAGCGAAACGTTTTTGATATGTAGGTCTTGCTGGTGACAAACATATCACCGCCAAACACATCTTCAATCTTAAATAGCCTTAGGTAAACCATGTCGCAAGGCAAGATTGCTCCCGATGGAGAATAAGAACCAAGAATAACAAAACGAGTATTAGGCAGATTACAGAAATGTTGGGTGATAGACGATATAAGAAAGATAGCCGGAAGGAATTGGCAGCAGATAGCTCAAGATCGAGAGTCATGATAAATTCTGGAGAGGCCTACGTCCACACGTGGACAGCCATGTACTGAGTACGAAGAAGAATAATCCTGGTTTGGTTCCGGTAAATTACTCTCGAGCTTTTCAGCTTGACAGCTTTTTTGTAGCTTGGGACAAAAACGTAATTATTTGAGACCAAAAACGGCAATAACGAGTCAACAATGAATGATCTGTCCGAGTTCGCCCCCACAGCCCTACTTCACCCCAAATTACCGGTACTTCTTGTTAGATATTCTAAGATAAGACGTTTTTTCAACATTTCCTCCGTCTTTTTGAATATTCTCGGTTGGTCTAATTGCATTTCCTCCGGGATGTTTGCGTAAGTCACCAGATTCTTTCGATCTAGACTCACGATTGAGTACAAATGGGCCGGAAAGATGGACTTGCGGAAACAAGAGTATTGACGAAACTTTCTTTACTTTTGACGAAAATTTTTGTTACTTTCATAAACATGCACTATTTTTTGTTGTGCAATGAAGTTGTCTTTCATAATCTATAATTTTTACAACTGGCATAATTTTCAAATTTCGGAAAGTTGGTTAATAAAAATAACGTTTATCTTTATGAGCTTTATATACTCGTAAAGTTTACCGGAAAAATTTTACGTAAAAATCAACCTGTATATAGAAATTCCATTTAAATTGTAAATTCAATGTAAAAAATAGCTCTCGATACTTACAAGAATAAGATGCATTTTGTTGCTGTACAGAATTTCCATGGCTGTTGTTCCAGCTTCCTCGTCTACATACACAAATCGAAATAGCTACGATAAGCACGAGTAGTACTAGAAGGGAACTAATTAGGACCACCACAAACCAAGTTACTTCGAGGCCTAGGATGGTACCACTATCGTTGTCTGAAAAAAAGTTTCGGACTATTAGAAACACTGCTTAGACTTTAATGTTAAACAATGACTAACCAATATTTTTAATTATTATTTATTATTATTTATCAATTAATGAATTATTTTTTTATAGTAATTTAGACTTAGCGGGAAATTATCTCGGCCTACAAATCAATTTGTAAAGGCTGGACCACTTAAAAATAAATAATTGTAATGAAGAATAACTTGAAGAGGTAATTTGGCTGCTGCTAAACTTCTTTAAAAAAGTAAAAGTAAAATCCTTTATAGCTCGACCGATGTGAGAACTGGCGCCTGATTCAACAGCTATTGGAAGTACTCCTATTATCTGATGCAGAAACTTGATTCTATAAATGGTATAAACAGGTATATGTATTAAACAGGGACCTTAAAAAACTGAAGCAAAGAAAAATACTCTGTCTCATCTCACTTGTAGAAGATCGTTTCCAAGATTATTTTTGCTTTGCTTTGCTCTGTGTGATGCCAGAAGAGATATTTATTAGTAAAAGTTTACGATATCACAACACATTATCACACAGAAACAATCCTCAAGAGTGTGGTTAAGCTTTGCTCTGCAACTTTGGAAAATATTTATCTTTATAACTCGGTATGCCCCTTTAATGAAGATACGCCTTTATTATTTCAGTAATAATAATACTTTCAATGCCTTCCTCCAAGCTTTGCTCTTCTCTGTTGCTACACAAACGTTATTCTTTCATTTCTTCACGGATTCCTCTACGGCATTTTGTTTTCTTAAATATATCGTTATCTTTCAGGATGCTCCGATCTGTACCAAAGATTTTTTTCATATTTTTGCTGATAACTCGCTCCATTCTACTCTCCACTCTTCTCGAAAAGTTTACCCGGGAGTATCTCCTCATTAGTTACCAGATCTACCCAGGACACACGCAGCATTCGACGGTACAGGTACATCTCAAAAGCATTGATTGGTGGAAAGTCCAGTTCTCAGAACTATAGAGGACAGGAAATATCTAGCAGCGCAGTATGCAAAATACGGATTTGCAGGCTTAAGTCTCGATTTCTGAGGAAAGTTTCATGGATGTAAAGATTTTCCTGGCCCGTTCGATTTAGTCTTAGACTAGACACCATTTTTTAAAGATCCTTGGACTCGTTGACGAGAGCTCGCAGATATTTGAAGGATAATTCCTGGTCCACGGGTTCGTTCTTAATTCTAAGGACTACGCGCCTCGGTGTTTTTGGGAATACAACAATTTTAGACTTTGCTACATTTGTCTGAAAACCATATTGTTCGCTGTGCTCAACGATCAGATTTATCATGTTATCAGCACCACCTCGTCGTCAGCAAATCGTACATTATTTATGAGAGCTCCATTGATCTCAGGAACCCTCTCTCGTATTTTCCAGTACTTTTCGAACATATTCTGCTGATAAGTTTTCCCAGTCAATTTCACATCCCTTCTTATTTGAATATGGACAGTCAAATATACCTCTTCTGTTCTTCTGGTATTATAGATACCGTTAGAGGTGCTTTATAAGTGTAGTCGATGAGAATGTTGGATCTTAAATAACTTAGAATATATTTTAATCACCTTATAAGAAATATTTGAAGAAAGATGAATCAGACCATGAAAACTGAGCTTTGTATTTTTATAACTATTCAGGGCCAGTGGAGACAATAATAGAAATATTTCCGCTACCAAATGTTGCAGATTAAAAAAATATATTTCACCGTGTCCATGTGTGTAATTGCACAAATAAATATATTGGAATGCAAGTCAACCTTGCTCCTTGACAGTGTTGGTATTATAAAAAAATATGATATTAAGTCGATTTACATCAACCATTGCTGCAATAAATCGAAAATAGCAAGATATGCGAGATACATTTCCATTAGCAAATATATCACAAGTTTAATTCAATTGCATTGTAGCTTAATAATAATTATCTAGAATAAGCTTACTAGAACAAGAATCGGAATATGCTACATCCTGCCATTAAGTTACATATACTTACTTTGGCATAAGTTATTGGACGATTCATCTGACCCGTCAGCACAATGGTTAATCTTGTCGCAAACCAAATCCGTCGATATACAGAATTCTCTTAAGTTACAGCGAAACTCTGTACAGGCATGTTCTGGAAACAAAAACACTTGTCATGTTGATGAAGTAAATAAATAGTAAATAACATGAAACTAC